ATATATATATATATATATATGTGCTGATAAATTTGTGCCTTTATTTATTTATCAGCACAAATAAAAAAACACAAATATAACAAAGGCAACAGTAAAAATATTGGGTATATAGATTATATATATATATATAAAATCTATATATCATATTTCTCTCTCTCTCTCTCTCTCTCTTTCTCTCTCTCTCTCTCTATCTATCTATCTATGCATATACATAGATAGATAGATAGACACACACACACACACATACACACACACACACACACGTATATATGCTGGTCTTGTTGTAGTCTGGTCTTGTTGTATTTGGGTCTTTTCCCATGTAATATTGAGATTGTCTTGGCAATGTTTCGGCGAGGTCTCACTCGCCATCTTCAGGCTGGGTTTTAGCCTTAGTACTTCCCATTACAACACACCCTCCTCCCATGAAAGATGGAATATGTAGGTGTTTCAATTTTTCTGTAAAGTCAAAGAAGGACTAAGTTAAATAAATCTCTGCCCAAAGGAAATTCCAAAAAACAGGGCAACATTTGATCAAGCACACTGCCTTGGATACAGAGTGTAAAGGAATTGCTGTTGATTTCTTCACACCATTTCCAAGTCTTTCCTGCATCCAAAGAGAACACCTGACACATGGAAAGCCAATCATTTGTGGTTTACTACAATAATCTGCCCATAAAAACTCTCATGAGAGCTTTAGGTGTGGAAGCTTTCATTTTGGATGAATATGTAGCAGAATAAGTTTAATTTAGAATTACGTACGATGACTAAAACTTTCTGCAGTCATAGTGTGGTATAAACCCAAACTTCTTTCAACTTTGAATCCTAGGCCCTAATATTCATAAGTCTATCAAATCCAGGATAGTCACTCATCTTAAAGGTAAACTTTGATGCACTTCCCTTTTTAAATATAGTCAATTGTACATATGAACCCCTTAAATCTGGTTCACTCCCCAAATTATCAGATCAGCACAATTCTTTTGCATTAATTTGGTTAAAAATCAGCAAATATTTGTTTACTGCTATTATTTATTCAAACTTATTTAAATCCACCCAATCCTAGTGGACCAGTTTTACTTGGTTGTACTTCTGCTGTACATCTGAGACAATTTCCACAAATACAGAAAGGGGGCAGGGAAAGTTAGCATAATGCCAGTATTAAAATACATGCAGGATTAAGGCTATGGACTGATGTAGATTTGCATTCTGCTCTCAGAATGTCTAATTCTGTTAACATCTAGCAAGCTGGAGCATGTCTCATCATTTAAGCATTTAAGTGAACATCTCTGGAGTCAGAAGGGTAAGCAGAGCTGAGCTTGGTGGGTGTTTAGATGGGGGACCTCCAGGAATACCAGGGCTGTCAATTAGACCTGTACCACTGCCAAGAAAACCTCATGGACATTTCAAGTACCAGGACTTGAGTTCATATGGAAAGAAAATAATTGCTATGCTAGAGAACATAATCTCTGGCCTAGTGCTGCCAAATGGCACAAATGACTTGCAAACTACTTGGGGATATTCTCTCTCTCTCTCTCTCTCTTTCTCTCTCTCTCTCTCTCTTTCTCTCTCTCTCTCTCTCTCTCTCTCTCTC